GCTTTGGAGTGTGGGGTGAGCCTCGTGGATCGGGAGAATAGCGCCTCCCATGCGGCCTCAGGACGAGCCGGGTGGCATGGCAAGGCATGCAGACCGGGTCCCGGCCCGTTTCGTGGACCCCATGCTCCCTGCACCCCAAGACTCTTCATCCCATGCCCATGTGGCTGATTCGGATCTGCCCCTGGCCACCGGCAGCAGCAGCCACCCCCACACTGTTCCTTCCCTGCCTGTCCCCCTCACCCCACCCTGGGCTGGGTGCCCTCCAGGCCCCGTTCCAGGTGACTCCTCCGTGGCCCCCTGGAGCTACAGAGGGCGGGGTGTGGGAACGCAGAAACACCGGGCTGGAGGAGTGAAGGAGGAGGGACAGGCCAAAGTCCAGAGCCCGCCCGCCTCCTGCTCTGAGAGCGGCAGGTGCCTGTCCCAGGGCAGTGGGAGGGGTGGCCCACAGGCCTCCCGGGAACTCAGGAGGTCCTTGCTGGCTGCTTGCGGCCAGGCTTAGTTTGGGAAGGGATGGGCCCTCATACCTGCTCTCTCCCCATGAGCTGTGTCTTGGACCCTGACACTAGAGCAAGGTGTCCTGTGTGGGCCATTTTGTGCACAGGTGTGATAGGTGTGCATGCCTGTGTGTCTAAGGGTGCTGCGGGTGCCTATCCACGTTCTGTGGGATGCCGGCCAAGGCCTTTGCTGGCCCCAGAGAGCTCTGGTGGCGTGCCCAGCCCTGCCCACACACTGAGGACGGCAGTGCTGCCTGGCAGGTCCTGGGCTGCCTGTGCCCTGGCCTTGCTGGGTGTGTGTCCCTGTCTGGCTCCCCCGTATCAGCCTCTCCGAGGGATTTGGGTGGCCTGGGCCCAGCGCTCCCGGCGGGTGGGCAGGCGTGGGGCTGCTCGGCAGCTCGCCCTGGCAGGGGCCCAGGTGCAGGCAGTGCTAGCCCCACGCACCCCTCAAGCTGCGCAGACGGGAAAATACCAGACATAGTTGTGCAAAGGTGCTGCGGGCGGCAGGGGCGGGGGCCTCTGCGATGGGGGCCCAGAGCCACCAATACCGGGAGGATTTGGTGCCACGCTGGCCCTGCAGCTGGCTCGCTGTGGCCATCGGTGTCAGTGTGCACGTGTGCGCCAGGCCCCCCAGCACCGTGTCAGCCCCCCTGCTGCCGTTGGAGAAGTAGGTGCATCTGTGAGGGGTGTGGGGGAGCCAGCAGCGCGCCTCCCGCCTAGGCTCCGCCTGAACTATCTGCGTGGCCTTGGCGGGCCTGACTTGCTGCTGGGCACCCCCAGCCTGGGGCTGGAGAAAAGAATCGTCAGGGCTACCAGTTGCTGGCAACTTCTTTGTGGCAGGCACCAGGCCAAGGCTCACCCTGCAGGGTGCCCTGAGTCCCTGGGACCATGACTGTGGTGCCTGTATTACCAAGGGGGAAACCAAGGCTCAGGGAGAGTAACAGGGACCTCTCTGAGCTCCTGCAGCCAGGGGTGGCACAGGGGACTTGAACCAGGTAGCCTGGTCTCACTCTATAAACACGCCGTCCTCAGGCGTACTCAGCTGGGGGCTTTGCCGAAGCCCACATAGCAGAGAGCAGAGAGTTCAAGGGGCCCATGCATTCCCACCCAGGGGACCTGGGAGTGCTGCCTGCTGAGCCAGAGTTCCATGCTCTCGCAGGAAGTGCTGCTTGCCCTGGCCCCTCCGGGGACCTGCCAGGCCAGGGCTCAGGGTCAGCCCTCCCCTCGTCCCGGGAGGAGGCCTCTCTGCTGCCTGCTCCTTCCAGGGCTGATCCAGCCTCTCCCGGGCCTCCCAGTGGCCTTTCTTTGGTGTAGTCGGGCTCTGGAAGGTCACTAGGGCCGACGTGAGCCTGAGGCCCTTGAGGGACACAGGGTTGCACCCTGGCTGGCAGGCTCTCCAGTTCAGGATGAGACTGGGGTGTCTGTGGGTGTGGAGGGGAGGGTCAGTCCCTACTCTGCTGACCTTAGCTGTAGATGGGCCAAGGGCTGGGGACTCAGCAATGGCCACAGTTCATTGAACAAGTTTTATTAAGCACCTACTATGCACCCGGCACAGTTCTAGGTGCTGAATATGACATACTATGCGCTAATGGCAAACACTGTGATTGGATGTGCAGCATTGCATTGATTTCTCCCCAAACCTTGACCCGGGGGCCCGTTACTATCATCATTGTCCCATTTCAGAGATGAAGATGATGAGGCTCAGACAGGAAGTCCACTTGCCCCAGGCCACACGGGAGGGAAGCAGCAGAGCTGGGTTGGAGGCCCCGGTGGTCTGACCCACATTTGGAGCCCTGCTCTGCTGTCTGAGCCGGAGGGGCCCCCAGAGGATGAGGCCTGTCTGGGCCCCCCCACCCCTGGCAGGCCTGCCTGGCCCTCCAGCCCCCGCTGCTGGGCGGCCCAGGAGGGTGGAGCTCTTGGCCAGGGCAGGGAGCCACAGCCAGTTCCCAGGAATGCGGGGCTGCGGGCCGTTTGCTTTGGCAGCCGGTCTGCCCTCAGCTTTCCAAGCCTCCTGGTGGCCCCACCCCCAGCTGGCCCCTCCGGTGCCCCGCCACAGCTGCCAGGCTGCCCTCCTGGGCTCCACTCCCAGCCCCTCTGTGGGCACCCCCACCCCACATCCACAGGCACAGTGGGGGCTAGTGGTGGACACAGCTGGGATTGAAACCAGCTGTCACTGACAAGCTGTGTGACCCCAGACAGGTCACCTAAGTCCCCTGAGCCTCAGTTTTTGCCTCTGTGAAATGGGGACAAAAGGGTACCTGCCTTACCTGGTGCAGGCATGCTGCCAGGCTCCACAGCTGGCCGTGGGTGCTGTCATGATACTCATCTGAGCTTCCAGTTCTGGGCTTGCCACCCACCTGTTCGGCCTGGGGCAGGTGCCTCCCCCCTGGCCCTCAGTGATGGTCCCAGTTACCAAACTCGGGGACACTCGCGGAGCAGCCTTAGCTGACCAGCACAGCGGAGGCCAGAGGCTTGCTTCTCCCTTCCGTTCAATAAGCAGACCACATGGACCACATGCATCGTGGGCCCTTGTCCCCAAGTGCTAGGCTGGACGGGCCACAGCTACCAAAGGGGCAGTTTGAAGACTACCACGGGAATACGGGGTGCCCTTCACATTGCCCTTGACAGCACTGATCCACGGGGGTCACTTACCTGACCCCACACTGCTGTGCATGGCCAGCATTGAGCCCCTGTCATACAGAAGGTCCTCTCTCTGCTTCCACCAAGGACACTGTGTGGCTCTCAGGGTAGGCATGCACAGCCCCCTGACCCCCCCTGCAGTTCACCCAGGCACCCTCCGGGCTCAGGACCAGCCATCCACCCCCAAGTGGGGAAGGAGGAACTTCATGCAGAGCAGGATCCCCTGCCAGCTCCCTGTTAACCTGGTGACCTTGAGCCTCAGTGTCCCCATCTGTGTGACAGGGAAAATGACAGCAGCTACTCACAAGGGGTTGTAGAGGACTCTGTGAACTCGTGGACAGACAGGCCTGATGCATGGTCGTGTTTACTGGACATCAACCTCGGGCCTTGAGAATTCTGTGCCTTTTCTGGGCCTCAGTTTCCCAGAGTGTGCTGGGCCTTCCAGCTGGGAGGGTGGGCTCCTCCTTGGCCTACCTGGGGGCTGGGGCCGGCAGCGCCTTGGGGCTGCAGTTGGGGGCCCAGCTGGGGGCAACTGCTGGGCTCAGGCACAATAGCATCCATTGTCTCGCTGGGCTGCCTGGGGGGCCGCCCAGCCCACCCTGTGGGTGACCCCCCTTCCCCCCCCAGTGGGGCCAGTGGGGGGGGCAGGCGTGGTGGTCACCCCAGCCCCCACCGCCCTGGTGGTCCCTTGGCCGCCCCTGAGCACATTTCCTCCCATCGATCTGCTCTACTTAGTTCCTTTTGTGGCTGCAGGAGCACCCGGGCTCCTCGTGGGCTGGGGGTGTCGCGCTTAGGGACATGCAGCGCTTCAGCTCTGATGGCACCTCCACACTGCAAGAGCAGGGGCACCAGGCACATCGCCTTCTAACTGTGGGGAAAACTGAGGCATGGGAGGGTCTGCCATGAGGCTCAGAGGGTGGTGATAAGGGCGGGCCAGCAGGCTGTGCCCCTACCCTGACCTCCCCCGCACCCAGTGAGGTGTGTTGGGTGCCTCCCCCACCCCTCTCTGGACCTCCCCACTGCCAGAGGCAGTAAACAGAGCCTTGGGCCACCCCTGGCTGAGCTCCTCTGCCCTCTGCAAGGCTGGTCGCTGCCTCACCCTTGGGAGGGTCGCTGTCCACCTTCCTTGTCCCAGCATTAAGTCAGCGGCTGGTGGGGCTGGCCTCAGGAGTGCTGGCAGGGTGGGGCCCAGGGCACAGGCTGGCTTGTCCCTCCTCTGGGCCTCAGGCTTTCAGGAGAGCAGGAACCTGGCTCTCGGCTGCCCCCTTCACCCGGCCTGGAACAAAGAGCAGAGCAGAGTCTAGACTGGCTACTGCAGGCTGGGGACTGGGGACGGGGTGGAGGGGATACTATGACGGTGGCCAAGGTCAGAACAGGACTGGGTTATGGGCCGCTTCCCCTGGGGTGGGGGTGGCCTGGTGCGGGGTGCTGGGAGCTGTGGGCTTTGGGGCGGTGCCTTCCTCCGCTCTGGGAGGGAGAGGCGGGCCTTGGGCTGGGCTCTGGCTTCCATGGCAATGAACCCAGGGGCAGGAAGTCTGTGTGGGATGTCCCTGGGGACTGGGCCTGCTGATTAAAGGGGATACTGGAGTCCCTCCTGCTTTGGGTGCCGTGGCCAACCCCACCTGGGAGACAGTTCTAGGTGGAGGGAGTGTCTTCTGTGGGCTCCAAGAACAAGGTGGCCCAGGGCTCCTGGCTCTGGCCTGGGGGGGGGCAGCGGGCAGGTGCCAAGGGATGTTGCTTGGACAGCCTTGCCAGTGAGTGAGAGTCTGTGTCAGCTGGAATTCCCAGTTCCCAACCACTCTGCCCTGTGGTCCCCTTCTCCGGAAGGGTGGGGGGGCGGGGTGGGGGCGGGGACAGAGGCTGTGGGAAGGCCTGTGGCCCTGGGCCAGCTGAGGGACCAGGCCACCAGCCCTTCCTGGCTCCTGAATTCTTAATCAGCATAAATATTTACTTCCTTCCTCCCCTTCCAGGCTCCCAGCACAGAGGCGCTTCAGGGAGGTTAGACTGGGCCTGTGTCTAAAAATAAACAGGTAGACGGACAGGCAGAAACACAGATAGACAGACATAATGGGGGCGGGGGAGGGGTCAGGCAGAGGGCAGCTCCCTGCCCAAGCAGAGGAATAGTGGGAGGGGTCCAGGACCATCTGCCACTGTCAGTCACCCACCTACTTGCTGGCAGGGGTCTGGGGGGGGCGGGCGTATTCACACAGATCTGACAGCTCCAACTGGACAAGTCACAGAGCTGGGTCCCAACTGCAGCGGCCCCAGCTCCGGTGGCCCAGCCTCGGGCAGGTGGGTAGCCTCCCTGTGCTCAGAGAGTCCCATGTTAGCCATGCACAGGTGGGATCTTGGGACGTGTCCCTAGAACTAGAGGATCCCCAGTGAGGGAGGAGACTGTGCTGAGAGCATTGTGGAGCTCTCGGGGTAAGCAGGTGGTCCGGGGACTGAGTGGAGACTGGACCAAGCTGCTGGGGGCTTGGCCCGGAGAGCAGGGACATGGGCTCTGTCCTCCCCACCTGCCCCATGGATAGCGTTCCTGGCAGCTCCGTGTCCTCAAGGGGCCACACCAGCCTCCTAGAAGACACACACAGGTGAAATATCTGAAGCATCTGACCAGGTGGTGGCTACGTCTGCTACCTCCACCCTTTTGTGTTAAACTGTAAAGCCTGGATGCAGCGAGTGAACGGCAGAGGGGGTCTCACAGCGAGGCCTGTTTAGCAGGCAGACTTCAAAGGGGTGACAAGCTCCATGGACCAATGCAAGGGAACACCGTGAGCGTCCACCGCTTGTGCAAAGACTGCTGTTATACAAAGAAGTCTGGGTTCAGAATGAAGAGCTGACCTTGTTCTTGGGTCAGTGGATACCCTGAGTTCATTTGTATATGAAGAAAATTATGCCAATGAGAAATTCTAAGAAAATGATGGAAATTACAGCATTGAGAACTTACAATAAAAGAATATCCTCACCAGTGAAAATTAATATATATATTTTTATTAAGCACCAGACAGAGCTGGTCTACCCCTCCACCGGCCCTGCCACACATGGCCTGGCTGGACCACAGTCCCCAGCTGCCCCCTGGTGGTGGCCAAGAGCCCTCAGGCTCCCTGTGGCTGCTGAAGCCTCTCCTGGGGGCCTCACCTGGGAGGGCGGAGGGGCCCCTGCCTGCGTCCAGTCCCAGCTTGCCAGGTTTCCTCAAGGTGGTCCGAGCTGCCTGCCAGGCATGTGAATGCTCGGCATGGTGCGGAATGCTAATGGCCACCTTCCACCCCTGGGCTGGTTTGGGGTCTTTGGGCTCAAACTGTGGGCGTGGCTTCCCACTTGGCTGCCAGTTCCAGGGAGATCCGGCCTTCAGCCTTGAATTTGACGGCTCTGCCATTTCCTAGCTCTGCGACCTGAGGCCGTGCCTCTAAAACTTAGTTTCATGGCAAAGTGGAGACCATGAGCTCCCCTAAAGACCCAAGAGCAGCGGATGTGGATCCTCTGAGTCAGTGGTTGGCACTCTCCGTGACACCTGCTGACCAGCCACTCAGAGGTCCCCCTACCCCGGGAGACAGCTTCACACCCTCTCTCCCTGCTCCTGTGGGCTTTAATGGGTGCAGCCCAAGGAGGAGCCTGGGGTCATAGTGTCACAGTGTAGCTCCTGTTCTTCCCCAGGTTCCTGCCTGAAGACCAGCCCCCCACTGCCTGCTGCCACCTCCAGCCCCATCACCATGCACTCCTTGGACGAGCCGCTTGACCTGAAGCTGAGCATCACCAAGCTCCGGGCGGCGAGAGAGAAGAGGGAGAGGACGCTGGGTGTGGTCCGGCCCCGTGCTCTGCACAGGGAGCTCGGCCTGGTAGATGACAGCCCCACACCTGGCTCCCCAGGCTCCCCACCCTCAGGTACTGTCCCTAAGCAGGGGACGGAGCAGTGGCCCCAGGAAGAGTGCCCCAGGTGTGTCTGCCCCGGCCTGTGGTCGCAGCCCTCCCAGCTTGGCTCATGGTGCTGTCCCCACCACCATTGATCCCCTCCCTCACCAGGGTATCTCTGGAGGGAGGAGCTCATGAGCTGGCACACAGCACTGGGATTACAGCTGAGACCCCTGGGAGGACGTGAAGCAGCTGGTACGGGGGGGGGGGGTGTCCGAGGAGTAGCAAATGTCCCATGATGTCAACTCCTCCTGGGCTTTGAGGCAGTGCGGCTGGTAAACCAGGGCTGTAGGTTGGGGACCCAGCCCAGCAAGTGCTGTTCAGGGATGCTTGGCACACATCCCTCCTGCCCTGCCTCCAAAAAGTCCCTGAACACCGGATTTACATGTCAGTGCTGGAAGGTTCTGGAAGCAGCCCAGCCCAAACCTCTCATTTTAAAGAAGGGAGCACTGAGGCAGGAAAGGGCCCAGGGAAAGTTAGAAAAGTCCCTGCCTGCCAGTATGCCTGGGAGCCAGAGGCCCTGGGTTCGGGTCCTATTTGGTTACTGGCTCTGTGTGCCAGGCTGTTCCCACCTGTAAAATGGGTACTTCTCAATTCCCCTCTCACAAGGGCCAAGCTCCCACGGTGGCAGAGGTCAAACGTGATGGGCAGCATCATCTTATCAGTCAGCTGTAGAGGGTGCTCCTCAGACACCTGGGGCCCCAGAGTGGCCCGGGGGGCAGCGCTTAGGCTCCAGCACTCCCTGAGTCGTGCCTCTGCCTTAGGCTTCCTGCTGAACCCCAAGTTCCCCGAGAAGGTGGAAGGACGCTTTTCAACAGCCCCTCTGGTGGACCTCAGCTTGTCCCCACCATCTGGGCTGGACTCGCCCAATGGCAGCAGCTCGCTGTCCCCCGAGCGCCAGGGCAATGGAGACCTGCCCCCAGTGCCTGCTGCTCCGGTAAGGAGAGGGTTCCTGGGGCTGCCATAACAACGCACCTCCAAACTGAGTGGTGGGAAATGACAGGCACGTGTTACTCACTTGCAGCTCCAGGAGCTAAGGTCTGAAGTCAAGGTGGCGGCAGGGCCATGCCTGCTCTAGGGACTCTACGAGCCCTTCCTTGCCTGTGTCCCAGCTTCCTTGGCAGTCCTTGGCACTCCTAGCGTGGCAGCTATGTCACCCCAGTTTGTCTTCACACGGCCTTCTTCCTTCCGTGTGTGCCTGGGTGTCTGCATCTCCCTCTTTCTCTTACAAAGACACCAGTCACTGGCTTTAGGGCCCACCCTAATCCAGGATGACCTCATTTTAACTTCATTACATCTGCAAAGACCCTATTTCCAAATCAGGTCACATGCACAGGTACGGGGCAGGGGGTGGTGCAAGACTCGAATGTGTCTGTTTGGGGGACACCGTTCAGCCCACTACAGAAGCGGACAGGGGGACAGGCCAGTGGACAGGCCAGCTGACTTAGCAGGGCCCCAACCAGCTGTCCCCTTGCCCACAGGACTTCCAGCCACTGCGCTACTTGGACGGTGTCCCCAGCTCCTTCCAGTTCTTCCTGCCCCTGGGCTCCGGGGGGGCCCTGCACCTGCCTGCTTCCTCCTTCCTCACCTCCCCCAAGGACAAGTGCCTCTCACCAGAGCTGCCCCTGCCCAAGCAGCTGGTGTGTCGCTGGGCCAAGGTGAGTGGGGGCCGGGAGGGTGGCATGGAGTCTGGGGCAGGCCGGCCACCCACATGGGCTCAGAACCCTGCCTGGCCCCGCAGTGTAACCAGCTCTTCGAGCTCCTGCAAGACCTGGTGGACCACGTCAATGACTACCACGTCAAGCCCGAGAAGGACGCGGGCTACTGCTGCCACTGGGAGGGCTGTGCCCGTCACGGCCGTGGCTTCAACGCCAGGTGAGGCGGGGGACAGGGGAAGAGGGAGGAGCTCGGGTCTCAGGCCTCCATCGAGCTGATCTCCCTCTCTCCCCCGAGCAGGTACAAGATGCTCATCCACATCCGCACGCACACCAACGAGAAGCCGCACCGCTGCCCCACCTGCAACAAGAGCTTCTCCCGCCTGGAGAACCTGAAGATCCACAACCGCTCACACACAGGTGAGGCCGGGGCAGGGGACTCTGAGGAAGGCCTGGGCCTCAGAGATAAGGGGCACACCTCAGTGGTTGGCGGTCCCTTTGCAAGTGCTACTTGCTAGGGGAAGCCCTTCCTGTGAGTCACACCCCAGCATGTGCTCTTGGAGCATGGCCACCGTCTGTATGATCATCTAATGCCGCCTCCGTGATGGCAGAGGCTGCGTCTGCTTCACTTCTCACTGCACCCTGAGCCCACAGCAGAGCAGCCCTGGTGATGGAGCCACAGACCTACTTTTAAATTTCCTAATCACTGGGCTGGGCGCGGTGGCTCACACCTGTAACCCTAGCACTCTGGGAGGCCGAGGCAGGAGGATCGCTTGAGCTCAGGAGTTCGAGACCAGCCTGAGCAAGAGTGAGACCCCGTCTCTACTAAAAATAGAAAGAAAATTAATTGGCCAACTAAAAATATATAGAAAAAATTAGCCGGGCATGGTGGCGCATGCCTGTAGTCCCAGTTACTAGGGAGGCTGAGGCAGGAGGATCGCTTGAGCCCAGGAGTGTGAGGTTGCTGTGAGCTAGGCTGACGCCACGGCACTCACTCTAGCCTGGGCAACAGAGTGAGACTCTGTCTCAAGAAAAAAAAAATCTCTAATCACTGCATAAAAATGAGCAAAAAGAAATAGGTGAAATTAATTGTAATAATATACTTCAGTGAACCCAATATATCTAAAATGTTATTTCAATATTAAAAACAAATCAATGAGACATCGAAATCCTTCATGTCATACAAAGTCTGCGGGTCTGGTGCGAGTTCCAGCCTCAGCACATCTCCATTTGGAGAGCTGCGTGTCAAAGGCTCAGTGGCCAAATTGGCTCCTGCCTGACCAGCGCAGTAGCAGAGGCTCGGTCAATCTTGAGGCTTTTTGTTGCACAGGGGCCAAATGCAAGGGTGGCTGGCACTCAGGCAGATGCCCCACGGCCAGGTCTGTGCCGGGCGCCCAGTAGGACACAGCCTCCAAGCTTGTGTTCCGGCGTGGACAACACTGCAGCGGAGCAGGGCTGACGCGGCTGCGTTCTCAGCTGCCATGTCCTGGCGCCCCCGCCCGGGGTGAGATCTGCCAGGTGCTGGGGATACCCCCCACTGAAAATGGGAGAGTCTGTGCTCTCATGGGGCTCTTGGTCTGGGGGATGCTGAATGCAAGGGTGGCGAGACCAGGGACAGGGAGAGGCCCCTCACGGCGGCACCGCACGACCCTGCAGGTGAGAAGCCCTACGTCTGCCCCTACGAGGGCTGCAACAAGCGCTACTCCAACTCCAGTGACCGCTTCAAGCACACTCGCACCCACTACGTGGACAAGCCCTACTACTGCAAGATGCCCGGCTGCCACAAGCGCTACACAGACCCCAGCTCGCTGCGCAAGCACATCAAGGCCCACGGTCACTTCGTGTCCCACGAGCAGCAAGAGCTCCTGCAGCTGCGCCCACCCCCCAAACCACCACTGCCCACCCCCGACGGCAGCCCCTATGTCAGTGGGGCACAGATCATTATCCCCAACCCAGCCGCCCTCTTCGGAGGCCCCGGCCTGCCGGGCCTACCCCTGCCCCTGGCCCCTGGTCCCCTGGACCTCAGCGCCCTGGCCTGTGGCAATGGTGGGGGCAGTGGGGGTGGAGGGGGCATGGGCCCTGGGCTGCCAGGCCCCGTCCTGCCTCTCAATCTGGCCAAGAACCCACTGCTGCCCTCGCCCTTTGGGGCTGGCGGACTGGGCCTGCCTGTGGTCTCCCTCCTCGCTGGCTCCGCTGGCGGCAAGGCCGAGGGGGAGAAGGGGCGTGGGCCGGTGCCCACCAGGGCCCTCAGCATGGAGGGCCGCAAGACGCCCCTCGAAAGGACGGAGAGCAGCTGCTCCCGGCCTAGCCCCGACGGACTCCCCCTGCTGCCAGGCACCGTGCTGGACCTGTCCACGGGCGTCAGCTCGGCGGCCAGCAGCCCAGAGGCACTAGCCCCTGGCTGGGTGGTCATCCCATCGGGCTCCGTGCTGCTCAAACCGGCCGTGGTGAACTGACACCCCCAGCGGACACCTGAGGCAGCCCAGCCGGCACCCCGGCCCTGCCCGGACGAACGGAAACTCTCTGCGAAATAGCAATAATGTCCTACTGCCCTGGGGCCTGGCTGGCTGTGCCCCCCCTCAAGGCAGTGCCAGCCCGCTGGGCAGCAAGGATGGTGCTAGGTCACTGCTGGCTTCCCGGCTCCCAAGTGACGACCTGGACCTGCAGTCCGGGGAGAGCCGTGCTCTGGGTGCTGAGGCTCACTCCCCTCGGGCCCTCCTGTGCCACAGCTTCTTTAAGAGCCTCCCCTACCCCTAGGTCCCCTTCTCTCTCACCCTGGTGCCTCCCTCATCCAGTGGCCAACCTGGGCAGCTCGCCTGCCCTCCCTACCTGCCAGCTATGGGGATGGCAGACTGCTGCCCATGCCCCAGCAGTGGGGACGGGTGAGTGGCATCTGCCCTCCCTGTGGGCACCAGACTCCCTCCCCACCCACAGCGGGCAGCTGCAGGAGCAGAGGCCCCACCCCCCACTCAGCCTCTGCCCTGGGGACTCCCTGGACCCCTTTCCCTCTGGCCCACCCTCCAGAGGGAGAGCAAGACAGACGCGGGCAAGCCCCCTCCCTGCCCCTGACAAGGTGCCTCCCGGCTTCTAGGAGAAGGGGGGCCCGCTGTGCCAGCTGTCCCTTCTCAGTCGTCCAGGCCCAGGCAGACAGCACTGCCGATGGGAGGGTATAGCTGGCCATTCGCCTGGCCCTGCACCCTGGGCCTCCTTCCTCCCAGAGCACCCTGGACGTGTGGAATAGGCCTGAGGGAGCCCCGAGCTGGAGGGGAGGTGCCAGATGGGCAGCTGTGGGGCCAGGACTCCCAGGTGACCTGGGCATCTGGCCCAGCGCCAGCTCAGGGAGCAGGTGGGGCCAGGCCAAGCTCCATCTTTGTATCCGTGCCCAGCTGGGCTCATCTTGGGCAGCGCTGCCCTGCAGAGCATCAGTCCTGCTCCAGGAAGGGATCCTGGCTGGGTCAGCTCCCAGTCTGGGGGTGCTGTCACATGTCGTGGGGGAGGGGGCCTCAGGGAAGGGAGCTAGGCTTGGGGGTGGCCTCTCTGCCTGGGAAGGGGGGCCTGAGGCATGGTGTCTCCTCTGGCTTTCCCAGCTGGGCCCCTTTCCTAGAAGTTTGCCCCTACCCCTGGAACTCCTCCAATCAGCTCCCCCAGGGTCTGTGCTACTCAGGGCCCTTGGCAGGAGGCTCCTGTGCCCAACAGCCCACTGCCAGACCCCATGGCGGTGCCTCCCCACCCTGGGCCTCTCACCACCCCCTGCCCACCTGCCAGGTAGGAGCTTGGGCTTCTAGGCCTGTCCTGTCACCAGGCTGCAGAGTGGCCAAGCCCTTCCACCTCCCATCTGCAGAACAAAGGAGCTGCCAGCGGCAGTGGGGTCCTCCAGAGCCCTGCATTCCTCTGAGCAGCTCTGCTCACCCCATCCTTTCCTGGACTGCCCTTCTGTCCCAGAGGGGTCACCCTGACCTGGCCGCCCTGCTGCTGGCCTTAGGACCCCAGCCCTGACAGGGCCTGGCCATGCTGGCTCTGCCCCTGGAAGGGGCTGTGAGCAAGTAGGAGGGAGCCGGTCTCCTTTCTTTGGGCCCCACCAGGACCCATGCGCCCCCACCCTACCAGGGGCCCAGGCTTTAAGGCCCAGGTGGGGGCTATGGGTTTGAGACTCAAGCAGAGCAGAGGAACAGGGCACTGGAAGGTGACGTTAGCTCAGCATGTGATTTGGTGATAGACCAGGCTCAGAAGGCCGGTGTACTTTTTGTTGTTGTTGGTTTGTTGTTGCACATTCCAGGATATCAGTATTTTAACAGGTTCTAAGTGCCTTTCTATCGTAGCTTGTTACCCTCCTCTTGGCTCCATTGCTGTTAGCATAGAGTTTTAAAAAAAAAAGAGATAAGCTAATGACTATAACAATATATTCCTCCATGTGAGAGGAAGTTTATAAAGAAACAATAAAAGTGAGTTGCAAAGATGGTTTCTGTTTTGTGGACGTGCCAGGAGCTGGGCCACCGGGCACCAGACCATGTGCCTGTGTGGGCTGACCACGCAGGTGCCGCTGCCCCTCGGCTTGCCAAAAGCAGACGCTGGGAGGGAAGGTGGGTGCTCAGGGGGCACAGGTACTGGGAGCTGAGACGGAAGATTCCAGACTAAGCATCGCAACTTGTCCAACTACTACCCCCTGCGACTCTAGTGAGTGGCACCTCAGTCCACAAGCCGAAGGCCTGTCTTCCCCAGATTCCTGAGATGCTAGATTCACACCGGCCCCAGGGAGAGGTGGCCTGGGACAGAGCTCTGGGGCAGGGGTCCTCCGTCCTGTGCGAGGGCCAGGGTCTGGCAGGATGCCCCGGAAGGGAGCCTGGCGCTGTTGCGGGTGCTGCAGAAGCAGGAGCCGCTGTGTCCAATACGTGATGGAACTCGGCCCGGGCCCGGCTGGCTGCCAACCTCGCCCACTCCGGCCCCCTCTGGGCTGTCAGAGGCTGCTGCCTCCCCTGCCCCAGCACACACAGCCCTACAACTGGCAGGAAGAGCAGCCTGCCCTCCGGAACCTACATGCACACAGAAATGCAGAAAAGACATTTATTACTGAGCTATAAATTAGAGGCGGCAGGGCAGGGTGGGGGAGCCGAGCAGTCACGTCTTGGGTGTCCGCCCTTTCTCTCTGTCCTCCTGGGCCTGGATTCTGAGTTCCTCATCCAGGCGCTCCTTCGCTCGGACCACCTGAGGTGGGGGGTCACAGATAATCAGGCTGCGGGAGCCTCTGACCCGTGCCCCCTGCCAACCTGGGACGGGCCTCTTCCCAGCCCAGGGCCAGGGCCAGGCTGGTTTCCCACCTGGAGAGCCCTGGATGGATGTGATGCCCCCTTTAGCTGAGCCCCAGGGTGGAAGGGGTGGCCTGGGGGCCCGAGCCCCACGCAGCACATGCCAGAGGGCTAGTTCCCATAGATCACCAGCTGGTGCTCCTGCCCCTTCAAAGTCCCAGCTGCTGGGAGGGCCACTGTCCAGGGTGACACAGCCTGACTGGCCGGGCCCCATGGAGCTAAGGCAGCCAGAAGGAATGGCAGTTCAGGCCCCTCCCTGCACACTTTCCTACCTGCCACTGCCTTAATGCCAGCCCCCCTACCTGGAAACGAGGGACCTCGAGTGAGAGGCTGCTGAGAGCTCGACTCCCATGGCTTTTCCCCCTTCCAGAATCAAAGACCACTCACCTTTGACTGCAGGTAGAAGGAGCCACCCACGGACTTATCATTCACCTTAAATAAGTGTTCGTAGTTCTGCAGAGAGAAAACAGGTGAGAAGGCTTGCAGACTGGGCTGGAGGGCTCTACCCCTCCACCCCGAGAACCACGTGTGCGGCACAGGAAGCTGCGTGGCCACTGAGGAGCAGAGCTGTGGACAGTGCCGGTGAGGGCGGGCTCAGCTGCTAGCGGCAAGCACTCTGTCTCTACAACTGCCCTGCTTCGGGCCCAAAACAAGCAACAGTGGCTTCCCCAAGTCACAGTCTGAGCTGGCTGTGGCCAGAGCCTCTGCACCTGCCTGCCCTCCACCCCGCCATCCTCCCTAATCCCCCAATTTCTGGCCAGTCTAGGCAAGGCGTGTCTGGGCATGGCCTGGTGGCCTCACCTTCTGGACCTCCTCAGGGCTCAGCTTGGAGACGTTGAGAATCTGCTGTGCCTCCTGCAGGCTGAGGCCGGAGAGGTTGGACGCGGCTGCAGACTGGTGTCCAGCACGTCCCCGGGCATCGGCTGCTGCCCGGCTGGCTGTGTGGACATGGGAGTGATCGCTCAGCCCTTGGCAGACCATAGCTCCCCCTGAGCCATCCAAGTGGGTGGCTCATCCCTGCCAGGTGGCATAGGGTGAGGAGGGACAGAGGCCACCGGGAGCTGTCTCTTCCCCAGAAGTGGTTTCTTTTTTAGGGGCTTGGGGAGGGGGAGAGTGAGGACAGACACGGCCCACAGGAAGATAACGGCAGGGTCTGACCATCCGGCAGGGTCTGACCATCAAACCTCACTCCTGATCCCCACCGAGACAACGAGATGACCCTGTCCCTCTCTCCCCCCATCCTGGGGGAGCTTTAGGCCATGGGGGGGACTAGAGTGAAGCCGTGGGCGTGGAGAGGCAGCAATGGCTCTGCTGGGATCACCTGAGCCGGCTGAGTGGGCAAACCCTTCTCTTTTGGTGACTCCTAAAGTCAGGAGCCAGTAAACATTTTCTTAAAGGGTCAGACGGTAAATATCTTAGGCTTTACAGGCCAGTCTGTCTGTGCTGGAATTACTCTGCCTAAAAGGGGTTGGGGAGGGCTGTATTCAATAAAACTTTATTTACAAAAACAGGTGGCCAGGTGGGCCAGTTTGCTGACTCCTGCCGGGCTGCTCACACTAACCAGGCACCACTGAAGATAAAACATAGGAACGTCCCAAAGTCTGGCACCACCCCCACCACAGGAAAGCGCGCCAGGCTACCCAAGTGGCAGAACCCCAGCCCGAGGGGACCCTGCATTCATAGCCAGCCAGCCTGAGCGCCCACAGCCACGGGGAAAATCCGGCCTGGGCAGGAGCTCCCCGCCCGGGGGGGGGGGGACAGGGTTCCTGGCTTACCTGCAAACTCTTGCCGCAAGGCCCGGGCGAAGGCCCTGCCCACCACCTGCACCCCCATCACAATGATCTGGGCCAGGTACTTGGCCTGTGGGCAAAGCAGGCATCTGGTTAGCAGGCTGCATTCTTAGGGCCCTCAGAGAGGGGACCCTGGAAACGACTGTAGAGTGGCAAGGTCGCTGGAGATCTGAGGTGATGACGCACAGAGCTGCAGCCACAGGCCTCCTCCAAAGCACCCTGATAAAAGCTGCACCAGGTGGCTTCAGATACTCAGCTGACACAGGGGACAGAGGCCACCAGCTTCAGAGAAGCACTGGAAGTCAGGACACAGAAACAGACCCAGAGCTGCCACTAACTCTCTCTCGACCCCAGGGACAATGATGGCGCCTCCTGCGCTTCCAAGATCGTCTGGTCCAACCTTTATGTTACAAGTGGAGAAACTCAGATCCATCCTAATTCTCCCAACACTATTCAAGTCCTGTGATTTTATTTTCTTGTTTGAGTCCGTCCCACTCAACACAACAAATTCACTGAGGAGACTAAAGCGACAGTCCCCACCTTCGAGGAGCTAAACGCCCACTAGGAGGGTATTCAGGCAGACACACTATGGACCAGGTGATCACGCAGAGTGGGCCTAGTTCACTTCTTCAGCCGGTGCTTCACTCACGCATCCACCTCCTGAGTCTACTCCGCCAGCACTGAGTACAGAGACACGCAGAACCTGGTCTCTGTCATCAGAGCTGGCCACACACCCACACGGCCTGGCAGGGAAACCAGCTGCGGCACAGCGAGGTGGCGCAAACCCCGTGACTGAGGCGCGACTCCATGAGCCACAGACGCACGCAGGGAGTCTCGGTAAGACGCGCCGGAGCGTGGAAGATCCGCAGAGGCAAACTCAGGCATGAGGTGGCGACTCTGGGAGAAGAGGGTATTTCCCCTGGGCTGAGCTCTGAACAGCAGGTAGAATATGACAGGAATATCGGGGATTTCCGGGCTGAGCCAGAGCTGGGAGGAGCAGCCAGCAGCCTAGGCTGGCCGGAGGAGACAGGAGCGCGGCGCACACTGTGAAATGCACAGACGGCGCATAGAACGGATGGCGGGTGTGAGAAATGGTAGAAGCCAGTGTGGGAGGATGCTGGAAGAATGCTCGCCACAGGCTGACAGTGCTCACATGGCACAGCCAGGTGACGTTCCCTCTCTTTGTAGTTTTCTGTAGTTAGAATTCCTCTGTCAACAAGTACCAACTGAGTCCGTGTGCCAGGCACTGTGCCAAACACGGTCTATTTACTGTGCCACTTAACCCTGACAACTCAAGAGGTTAGTGCTTGGCCCGAGGACACATGGCGAGTGTGTGCAGGACGCAGGCGGGAAACCTGAGGCTGCGCACGCAGAACCCCAGGGCTGGAGGGAGGACGACTGAGCAGGCAACAAGCATCAAGAACCCAACCCACAGGCCAAACAGGGGCCTGTCAGATTCCAGTGGATTCCAGACTCCAGAACTGGCCGTGCTCAGCCTCCAAGGACCTGCTCTTTCCTCACAGGCGGGATGTGATTATGGGCCATTCGGGGAACAAACAGAAGTGGGTTTGGATTTCACAAGTAGGTGGAATTCCATAAGCTCTGGAAAGCGGAACCCAGAGAAGACCCTCCTGTGATCAAAGCCAGGGGCGGCGCAGCCAGCTGTGCTGCAGGTGTGAGGAGGACAATGAATGGGCGCACCACCCACCGGTCTCTCACCTGACTTCTCCCTTCCTTGCCTACAGCCACTCCCACGTGGGAAGGGAGGCTCTGAGATGGAATGCTGGTCTGAAGGACAGAAGCTGACAGGCCAGTCGTTGACTCCAGAGGGCTCCCTCAGACTGCAACACCCCTCCCACCATCTGCTGCCATCATGGGCCTTGCAATCACCTGTTTACTTTTCTGCCGAGGCCGATGACTGTTGCTAAATAACGAACATTAAGAACTGAAGTTGTGACAGGGGAACTCCTCCAACCATCCCCGACACACATCCAACCCAAGCAGTATGGGGGCCTGTGCCTCTGGCTGCCCAGACTGCAGGGAAGGTGGGCTGACCTGCAAAGGTTCAGTAGCTATCCCACCCGCCAAGGGAGCTGCCCAGATGGCTGGGTGAGGCCACCAAGGTTCCTGTGGGAGGCATCTCCCAGAAGAGGCAGTGTGGTGTTATAGGCACACCAGCAGGCTTTCGGATGACCTGTGGGCAAACCCCAGCTGTGTGACCCTTGACAAGTTCTCAACCCCCTTGAGCCTCAGTTTCCTCACCCATAAAATGTGGCCAGCAATACAGCTGTCGTAGGGATTAGATAACGCCTGTAAAGTGCCTGGCACAGAGCCTAAAGACACAGTAGGTGCTCAATAAACGTGGCCTTTCATTTATTATATTCTTGGTTTCACAAAACTTGACAATGACCAGGAGCTATGGAGTTAACAAAGCTTCTTCCAACACAGCAGCTCATTCGATACAGGCCCTGTGATTCCTCAGGGGTGAAGGCTAAAAACCTCGCACTACATTCCCCCAGGAGTTGGGAAGCAGCAAGGAAGAAGAAAGAGAACAACGCTGACCCAGACTGGAATCCTAGCTTTGTTTCTCGACAGTTATGTGGATGTGAACAAATTACTCAACCTCTCTGGACCTCTTTTCTTTTTCTTTTTTCTTTTTTTTTTTTTTTTTGAGACAGAGTCTCGCTTTGTTGCCCTGGCTAGAGTGAGTGCCATGGCGTCAGCCTAGCTCACAGCAACCTCAATCTCCTGGGCTCAAGCAATCCTGCTGCCTCAGCCTCCCGAGTAGCTGGGACTACAGGCATGCGCCACCATGCCCGGCTAATTTTTTTTTTTTATATATATATATTAGTTGGCCAATTAATTTCTTTCTATTTATAGTAGAGATGGGGTCTCGCTCAGGGTGGTTTCGAACTCCTGACCTCGAGCAATCCGCCCACCTCGGCCTCCCAGAGTGCTAGGATTACAGGCATGAGCCACCACGCCCGGCCTGGACCTCTTTTCTTAACTGCAAAATGGAGAGAATACTTTCCTCAGAGGACTATGAGCCCCAGGAGGCAACGCACATAAAACCAAGTGGACAGAGAGCGGCAGGCCCAGAGCAGGAACTCAACAGATGCCTTTGCTCCAGGACCAGACCCTGCTTGGAGGTGCAGCCAAGCCTCTCACCCACCTATGCAGTAGCCAAACGCTCCCTGAGCACCGGCTATGGGTCAGGCTGAGCCCAGAGCTGAGCGTACACGGGGAGCACAGCTCTGCCAGCTGCAGCTGCCACAGGTGATCAAAACAGCCACTAGCTGAGGCCCCTCCCAGAAAGCCCCAAAACATCCCATTGTCCACTGACTGACACTCGGGCTTGAAGCAACCAGCTGATGTGGCATCCAACTTCAGGCCTGAAGTTGTCAGACAGCAAAGGTGCCAGGTCAGAGCCGTAGGATGCTGACCTGGGACCCACAGTGGGCAGCACATACACTTTCTCATCAGGGAGCAATGTGGCCCAAGGCAGGATCAAAGCCCTGCATCTGGGGCAAGGGACAACAGACAACACTTGGGGGACATTCGGAATGGGGCTTATCTCGACTGTGTCACATGCACCAAGAGGGGATCCGTGTGCAATGTTCCTTCCAGGCACAGTTCCTGGCTCCTGGGTTGGTGAGCACACCGCCACCGAGACTCACACCCTTCTCATGGATGCACTGAGATAGGAAGGGGGCACTAGTCACCCTAGGCCCCTGCAGGCAGAAGGACGGTCAGGACCACAACTGCGGCACTTGCCCCAATATTCCCAGGGGGCCTGGCCAGTGGCTGGCGGAGCAAGTGCCCAGTACACATTTGAATGAATGAGACTTGACCACCGTCAGCTCTGCTTTGGCCAAGCCAGAATCTCATAAACTCTATGTCCCCAGACAGGTTTCCAAATGTCTCCTAACTTCTCTGCTGAAGAACAAAACACACAGAGTTCACCACCACCGCCTACAAATTCAGTCCACTCTCCAGCTAGGCATTCACAGCTCTGTCTGGTCTCAACTTGGTTCTTGGGTTTTTTCTCCCCCTTACACCTCTCCAGGCTGCAGTCACACCCTCTACTCCTAGATCGGCCCTCATACTTCACTCTTCAATGTCTTTGCTGCTGCTCCAAGTTTCTCCACCTTGAATATCCTCCATCCTACCGTGATACTCTGTCAAAACCCAACATCCTTCAGGACTCAGCCAGTCATGCCACTCCTGTCCCCTCCCCCAAACATTCCCAGGCTCCTCCATGTATACCTTCCTACAGCACTTTCTTTTCCTATTAATATATGTCACACTGTCTTATTTTATGGACTCCCCTGCTGTCTCCTCTAGGATACAGACTCCTCCAGAACTACATTTTATTCGGCTTTGAGGGTGGCTCAGAGTAAATGAGGTAACACATGCTAAGGACCCAGTTCAGTGAGGGCTCATCATAGGTCCTCAATAAATCGCAGTTACCATCACAAGACAGGAACAATGTACTGGTAATGTGTATTCTTGGGACACGGAAAAAGCTAGGCTCAAAACAGGTCTCTGACACTGTAGGACACATGACCCTCGAAGAATCAAATTCTCTTGAGCTTTAGGTTCCTAATCTGTAAAATGGGGACAATGACAACATGACTTCAGAATTCAATGGGAGAATCTACACCAGGCATCCTCAAACTACGGCCCGAGGGCCACATGCGGCTGCCTAGCACATTTATCCTGCCCTCTGGGTGGTTGACACCACTGCCTGTCACGCTTAGCACCCGACTGGTCCTGGGCCCACAGTGCGCCCTCTCCAACAGTCTGAGGGACAGTGAACTGGCCCCCTGTTTAAAAAGTTTGAGCACCCCTGAGATTCTACACAAAGCCTCAGCTCATGGCCTGGCATCTGTAAGCTGTTACATTATCCTTACCACTAGTTAAGAAGTGGCTCCCTAAACCAGCTGCATCGGAATCACTTGGGGAACTTGTACAGAGAGAGCCTGCAGGGACAGAGCTCAAGAATCTGCATATTTAGCTCATGCTTTTAATCCTAGCATTCTGGGAGACTGAGGGGGGAGGATAGCTTGAGCTGAGGAGTTTGAGACCAGCCTGAGCAAAGAGCAAGACCCCATCTCTTGTAGATATAGAAAAATTAGCCGGGTGTGGTGGTGCATGGCTGTCGTCCCAGCTATTCGGGAGGCTGAGGCAGGAGGATCGCTTGAGCCCAGTAGTTTGAGGTTGCTGTGAGCTAGGCTGAGGCCACGGCACTCTCCCCGGCAACAGAGTGACACTTCTTCCCAGAAAGAAAAAAAAACATCTGTATTTTTAAAGGTTCCCCCAAGCAACCTGGCACAGTCAGTGCAGCACAAGTCTGTGGACTGGCTCTAGGTGTCGATAGTTCCGCAGAAACGCTCAGTGTTCGGTGCTGGGGATCTACAGGTCTCAGATCTGCCGCTGCCTTGGAAAAGTCAACTTTCAAATGGGGATAAAAGGGCGACAACATCGACTCTGCAGTCACAGGATCCGGGGCAGAGTAGATAGCCTCGGGAGGACCCAGCCTCCACCTCCGCTGCCCGCAGCTGCTCGCTCACACGCGGGCTGGGCACAGGGCGACCATATTTGCTGGGCTTCTTCCGGCCAGCCAAGCCCGCCCTGCCTCCGAGCCAGGCGGCTTTCCCTGATCCGGAGGCCGCCGCTGCCGCAGGCCCCAGTCCCGCAGGTGCGACGCCCCCAGACCCTGCTTCCCGCCCGACACGCACGGCGCCCGCAGCCCGGCCCGGAGCTCGCAGCCCTGGCCCCGGCCCCGACTCGGTCTCCCCTCCCCTGGCAGCACCCGACTCGGGCCTCACCATGGCGGCTCTGCCTCGGGGTCGCGGGCTCCGCTTCCTGGCCCCGCGGCCGGGGCTGAAGGTCGGCCAGCAGGTCAGAGGTCAGGGGAGGCTGCAGAGAGCGCGTGCGCGAGGCCGCACTGGGCATGCGCGTCGTCTGTCCGGGGGCGGGGCGGCGGCGGTGACGTGTCTGTGGGGCGGAGTCGGGGCGGGGTTTGACTCTGAGCGGAGCCGGCCGCTGCAGCATCCGCACGGCGCGGGGGCGGACGGGGCACGGCGCTGGGACCCTCTGGCCTGCAAGCTTATCCCGGCGCCAGGAACGAGGGGCGATTTCTGCCCTTGAGTTTGCCACAATATTTAGGACTAAAACATAAGAGATGAACATAATATGGAGTAGGATGCCAAATTCTCAGGACTATTTAAGAAAACAGGAAACTTCAAGATAGGTTTAATTGCAGATTCCTTCTGTCTGGGAAGCTCATGCCCTACTTCAAACCTCTGCTCAAATGAGGTTCGCCTAGGCTCCTTACCAACGCTGTAACTTACCTTCCTTTTTCTTTCTTTTCTTTCTTTTTGAGACAGGGCCTCACTCCGTCGCCCAGGCTGGAGTACAGTGGAGGCTACCACAACCTTGAACTCTTGGGCTCCAGCGATCCTCCTGCCTAAGCCTCCCCAGTAGTGGGGACTATAGGTGCACACCCCACCATGCCCAGCTTTTTTTTTTTTTTTTTTTGAGACAGTCTCACTCTGTTGCCCGGGCTAGAGTGCCGTGGCGTCAGCCTAGCTCACAGCAACCTCCAACTCCTGGGCTCAAGCAATCCTCCTGCCTCAGCCTCCTAAGTATTTAGGACTACATGCATGCATCACCATGCCTGGCTAATTTTAATTTTTTTAATATCTATATATATTTTTAGTTGTCCAGCTAATTTCTATTTTTTTAGTAAAGATAGGGTCTTGCTTTTGCTCAGGCTGGTCTTGAACTCCTGAGCTCAAACGATCCTTCTGCCTCGGCCTCCCAGAGTGCTAGGATTACAGGCATGAGCCACCATGCCTGGTCCACCATGCCCAACTTAAAAAAATTTTTTTTTCCTTTTTTTTTTTTGAGACAGCCTAGAGTGAGTGCCATGGTGTCAGCCTAGCTCATAGCAACCTCAAACTCCTGGGCTCAAGCAATCCTGCTGCCTCAGCCTCCCAAGTAGCTGGGACTACAGGCATGAGCCACCATGCCCAGCTAATTTTTTCTATATATATTAGTTGGCCAATTAATTTCTTACTGTTGATAATAGAGACGGGGTCTCGCTCTTGCTCAGGCTGGTTTTGAACTCCTGACCTCAAGCAATCCACCCGCCTCGGCCTCCCAGAGTGCTAGGATTACAGGGGTGAGCCACCACGCCCTGCCAAAAATTTTTTTTTTTAATTTTTGTAGAGACGGAGTCTTGCTTTGTTGCTTTCTGTCCCTACAGAATTACCTGTTCTGGACATTTCACAGAAGGGGAATCGTACAATATGCAACCTTTTGTGACTGGCTTCTCTCTCCATTTTCAATTCCCTCTGTTCTTTTTCCAAAACTCTTATCACCTGCTACCATATTACATAATTTGTTTATTTTTACATTTATTGTTTATAATCTGTTCCCTTCCACTAGAATGTAGATTCCCAGTGGGCAGGACTTTTCCTTTTCTCCAGTCTTGGACATCAAGCACCTGGAAGTGGATTGGGCACATGGCAGACATGCAGCAGATGCCTCAGGCTAAGCGCTGGACCACTGCCTTTCTTCCCTCTCCCCCAACTCTCCGAATTCCCCCCCTCCATGCCACGCTGTCCTCCCTCCAGTCTGAAACGTTCTTCTTACTTGATCTTAGCCAAAAGGCCAAGAAGCGATGAAACGTTCTTCTCAACAGCTCTCCCAGGCCTTCGGGTTTTCCTTCTCAGCTCGAATGTCACATTCTCAGACCCCTGAACACCCTGCTTCCCTTCATCCCAGTCACTGCCTTTCACACAATTTTCCTTCTTTATAGCTCTCTCCACACTACCTGCCTGCTCACTTGCACACAGTCTGCTCCCTGCATAACAGGCTGCAACACACTGAAGCTCTTCCCCGTCCATTGCAGCAGCTGCCACCTGGAACCCAGCAGCACTCAGCTGAGCAGGCCTTGGGAGCAGATCAAGGATGTGCTGGATGAGGGGACCCCAGGGCCACCCACATGCCTGTCCCTGTACCCTTGCCTTTCCCAACCAGCCCAGTGATCACACAGCGCAAGAGTGGCCAGCTTAGAAAAGTTTAATTGCTGAGAACATCCAGGAGATGTGTGGGCCAGTCCCTGTGGGGCTCAACAGCCCCCTTATTGGACCACCAGCTCTGTGATGTCCCCTTCTCCTGGCTGCAAGCCTGGGAAGCAAGGCAACTGGTCCGAGGACCCTGAGGCTGGTGCTGTTCCAAACAGTCTGGTGGGGGACCAGCCCCCAAGGCTCTTGACCAGAACTCAGGCAGCAGGCAAGATGGGGCGATGTGTAGGAACTGAAGGTGCTGGATGAAGCCAGCGACCAGCCCAGGACAGGGGACAGGGCAGGGGAGACAGGGAGCCCAGGGCCTGCCCAGGGACATGCTATCGACCACCCCATGCCCCCACACTCCTGGCTGCACATGCTAGCAGGTAGCTGAGAAGCAGCAGCCAGACCCAGAGGAAGCAGAGGTCGGGTGATCCATGGGAGTGACAGTGGGCCCAGTGGCTACGAAGGTGCCCTGGGCCCACGGGAAACCAGGACTCCTGGGATGAGGGGTGCCAGGTTGGAGAGGCATCTTCCAATTTGAGCATGAGATGTGAGGTGTGTAGGAGCACCTGGGAGGTGCTCCTACAGCGGCAGGCAGGGCCAGAGGCGGCTGGCAGGCAGGCTAGTCCTGGGATGATAGAACAGGATGGCAGGGAGTCAGGAGGGCAGGGGAGGGAGGTGGCAGGAGTCTCAGCATGTGCGGGAGGGGTGGGGTGGTGCTGCCTTTGGGGAAGCCAGGCCACTGGCCACTCACCCACTCGTTCTCGTCCACACCTTCGAAGGAGTCCTGGGGGAGTGGGTCCTCCCGATTCCCTAACTTTGCCACCATGGCGTTCAGCAGCTGCAAAGGGGGCAAGAGAAGTGTTGGAAAAGGAATAGGGCTCTCTGGCTCCAAGAACATCGGCACCCACCGCCCCGGGTTTTAACCCCAGCAATGCTATGAAAAGAGCCATTTTAATTACAGCCCTGACAAAATTGATGGGTTTTCATTAAAAAAGACACAAAGACGGTGACAGGAGAGTCAGGGACAGACTATGACATTTGGTACCAGATACAGGTGCCGCTGTTTGCACACATTGCCTCAAACACTCAAATGTACTCCAGGGTCCAAAAGCACTTGGGCTCAAAACCTTCAGCTTTGGCTGGGTTTGGCCTGGGCAGGGTGGGCTCTCACTGCCCTCCCCGGCTTCCCCTGCCCCACTGAGCTCTGACGTGGTGGGTGTGACATGCGGCTGTTCTCCTCATCCAGGTCGGGGCGGAGGACTGAGGGATGATGGCACAGCCAGCTCCCTCCTGTGCCTACCTCTTCCTTCTTTTGCTGGTCTGACTTCTCTTCCAGGTACTGCACCGAGGAGGGGACCCGCCGGGCAGGGGCCTCACGGGGGGCTTGGCTCACTGGGGCAGGGTAAGGACAGGCATCAGAGAGTCCCTGGGTTGGGACTCCTTGGTGCCAGGCCCTAAGGGATTCTGCGGTACAGACCCAAGAGGTGGCATTAACAGCCACTAAGGCCTCTGTTCGCAAGGCCTGTCCTGAGCACCAGGGCGTGCGTGCGTGAGTGTGTGTGTGTGTGAGGGGTAGGAATTTGCCCTCCAGGGACTCAGAGATAGTGTGGACACAGCCACCGTGTCCCTGGGAGTGCCAGGGGTCTCTGTGTGCCAGCAGGAATGGAGACTAGACTTGGGCTTGCTGCCCCTTTCCCGCCCCCCACGCCCCTGCTGCCTCCCCCAACCTGTCCCCGCCATCTACCTGGGGTCATGTCAGGCGGCTGTAGGCTGAGACGCCGGGGCCGCCCATTAGTGCCCCGCAGCCAGGCCTCCGCGCTGAGCGCCGGCTCCCAGCTCACAGCCGTGTCTGGGAACACGTCATCCTGGAAGAACTCTTTCTGCAGGGGGAGGAAGGGGCTGTCGTGAGACACTGCCCAGAGGCCCAGGGCACACTGGTGTCTGTCGGGAGAGGGACATGGCAAGACATGGGACCCTCCCTCAAGTCTGAGGTTTCCCTGAGTTTCAGAGTCTCAGCATAAGTGGGTAGGTGCCCCAACGAATGATGAGTGGGGCAGTTTGGGGGCAGGGTCAGACAGGACCCAAAGCCCCAGACAGGTGCTGGGAAAGGGGCACTAGAGTCCCTGGCTCCCAACGTCACCCTGACTCGGGGCAGCCGGAAGGCCACGGGCTCCAGGGAGGTCTGACGCAGCCGCAGGCATCGGGCAAACTCCACTTCCCGCACGTCGCACTCTGTCTTAGGCAGGAGGACGAAGCCCTGTGGAATCGAGGGGACGGAGCTGGGGCTGGGGCTGGAGCCCGGAGCTCGTGGCCGGGCATACAGCATCCCCAGGGAGCCAGTGTTTCTCACTTAGGACCACCAGGACCACGGCCTGTCCCTGCACAGTGACATGCTAGTAACATTGAACAACTGGCTTTCTGGAGGGAAAAGCCTTGATTTGTAGCTTTTGCCTATTTCCAGAGTAAAAACTCCAGCCATGGCTGATTTCAAGCTACCAACTCAACTCGCTGAGCGTATTGTTAGGAAGAGATGTACAATAATGCATCGCATGGCATTGCCACCACACGAGTCCAACAGACGTGTGTGACCGTGACAGCACAGATAATAGGAAAATCTGATACACCAAGTAGGAAGTGATAAACTATGTGATAAACTATGGATTTATTACCTTGGTTTTTAATATGTTTATGTGTAGATTCAGATTGTGGGTTCATATAGTTTAACTTTTATTATAGTTTATTAATAATGGTTAGTACAACAACTACTCTCAAAACTCCTAGATAATGTCACCACCAGCCGCAGCCCAGGAGGCTGGCCGCCCCCCCCCCTTGCAGGCCCCTGCACTGCTCCACATGGCCACAAGAGGGCGAGG